AGTTGTTTAAGCAGGGATAAAGGAAACTCAGAAGCCCATAAATCAAGTCAGGTGACCATTCCAAAAATTCAGAGTATGCAGAAAAGAAAACGTGTGCCCCCCAAAGTCATATAATGGCCACTTCCCTCTCAAAATTCATAACAGACCAACGATGGAATCTCCTATAGGAGAGAAAGGAGTCTAGGCTGACAGGACCTTCAAGGCAAAAACACCCCAGTGTCAAAAGACAAACGTTTTGATTTTACCCTTCAAAAGTCCAAGGGAAAAGTTTGCGGAGATTCATATACAATTAAAAAAAAAAATCATGCCGGACAGCCCTGAGTTTCCACTTTCAAGTCCTAGATAGCTCTTCTCAGTGTTAAACTCTGTGAGCATTGTTGCTCAGTAGGTAAACTAAAATTCTTTCTTTCTCTGTATATTTTGAGGCCTGGTTAGGCCAGGCTGGCCTCTATCTTTCTACGTAGTCATGGATGATCTTGAACTTCTAATCCTCCTGCCTCTACCTCCCAAGTGCTGAGACTGAAGTGCGGCTCACCACACCTGGTCTTATACAGGGGTCAAGATGGAACCTGGGCTTTTCCCATGCTAAGGAAGAACTCTACCAACTGACCCTTTGCTCTCATTTGTTTTCAGATTAGAATAGGGGAAAAATAACTGAGGGAAAGCTTATGGGTTTTCTGTTTCTGTGTTTCCAGCTTCTGCAGTGCCTCTCTTCCTTCAGGACCCTGTTTGGCATCTCCATTGCCAGGTACAGGCATCTGAAAAGACTTGTGGCAGTGTAGCTTTGGGACAGGCTGTTGTAGGAATCCTTCTTGTATATGTGTCAAGGAGTAACAGCCACAGACAGTCAAACATGCAATAGTCTTAACCCTCCCAAGGCACAGAAGAGGGTCAGAAGGGCATGCACTTCTCAGTCTGAAGATGGTCCTTGGTTAATCATGAACTCTGTAGGTACAGAGGTCATTTTTCCATAGTCAAGGTAGCTAAGACATTAATTGCATATTGAGTATGCCGTATAATGAATGACTCAAGCAACCCATCAATCAAATCACCAACGCTGATCTATTTTTTTAGCTTGAGGCCCAGTACATTTTGGTTGAATGAAGTTTTTCAGAATGTCTGACTTCTACACTTGCCCTTAGCCAAAGCCCAAGAGGCAATGGCTAGAGTTCTAAATGGCATTCAGCAGTAGAGAAAGGTAAACAGATGTGACCTTGACTCACTAGAAAACCAACAGTAAAGCAGCAGCAGCAACAGATAGCTGCTCCGCTACAATGGAGGACCCTGCTCGGCAGGTACAGGCATTGGGGTACTCTTTGGAAGCAAGGAATGTCAATAATGGAAATGTTATACAAGGATCTCCAGAAAAAAACAGATGCCTTTAAGTCTGGCAATTTCTCCCAGGAAAATGTCATCTGGAAATGAAACATCTAAAAAGAAATAGGCACACACACACACACACATACACACACACACACACACACACACACGTGTGTGTGTGTATGTGCTGTATAGTGGCACATATGTACCACTTATCTGATATCACACACACACACACACACACACACACACACACATATATGTGTGTGTGTATGTGCTGTGTAGTGGCACATATGTACCACTTATCTGATTACAGAAGCAAATGATTACTTGGAGGAAGATGTCTTCTATTTCAATAAAGGAATGGCAAAACCTAGGATGGGAACAGTTCTGCCTTGAAGAATAAAGAACAGACTTTAATCTAAGGAGCTTATTTAAGGACACCAGGGTAAATGCCAGAGTTTCAGGGACTCATTGCTTGGAGAGTGTTTGTAGGTGGCCTTGACTAGAAGAGAGGAGAAGGGCACACCAGGGGGAAAGCATGTCTCTTGGCTCCCCTTTCCCATCCACACCTCCCTAGAAAATTCTAATCCAATCACTATACATTAACACATTTCAATAAACCCCAGCAGCTCCCCCAGCTTGTAAAAATAAAAGGAAAAGTTCTATCTTGACAATGTCAAGGGCCTTCTTTTTTTTTCCCCCCTTATGATTTGCTGGTACCTCAATCATAACACATGATATAATGAGCTTAGTATTGTGATTCCTCTGTTTTTTGTTCTTGCAGTAATGAGGACTTTATACAGGGCCTGACACATGCTAAGCAAACCCTCCACACTGAGCTGCGTCCTTTGCCCCTATTGACCATTTTTAGGCTGAAATCTCAATGACAAGATAAAGCTATGAAGACGCGGAGATGAATGGACATCCAAGAACCTCCAAGGAGTGACGGCTCATGCAAGAACCTGATGAGAAACAGGCTGATGGACAGGGAAGACGAGGCCAAGGTTAGTGAGCTGCGTCCTTTGCCCCTATTGACCATTTTTAGGCTGAAATCTCAATGACGAGATAAAGCTATGAATGGACATCCAAGAACCTCCAAGGAGTGACGGCTCATGCAAGGACCTGATGAGAAACAGGCTGATGGACAGGGAAGACGAGGCCAAGGTTAGCATCTCATCAGGACAGGGAACAGGTCCACGGAAAAGCTGCAGAAGCCAGAGGGTGAAGCCACTGGGAACAGACACTGAAGTAAGAAGATGGGATCGAGCTGCGTATTGAGATATTCTGACAATCTTTGACTATATTTATATTGTTTTTCTTCTTAAAAATGTGCTCTAGCACTGGGCATCTCCCAGGTATATGTTCTCTGTTCCTGATCAGATGTGCAACTCTGCAGTGGCCTCCATCTGTTGCAAAAAGAAGACTTCTCTGATGAGTTCTGTGCAGCATGCTTGTCACTCTAAGGGAGGTCTCTTCTGTCTGGCACTGCGTTCCCTGCCAGGCAGCTCCCAGGTCTACATGTGCATTAGTGTTCAGACACTCTGTGCTTTTCTCACAGGGTTTCTAGGGCATCACTTTTCCCTCCAGGTTTCCTGTCCCTGAGATTCACTCAGCTCCACTCTTTTCTTCTCACATCCGGCCTCCCTCCTCCCTCCCTCCTTAGTCACAGTGCCCCCATTAGCCCCACCCTCCCCCTAATGCCACCTGACTCCCACCATCTTTCCTCTCCTGACTTCCCTCCCTCCCCCACACCATGGTCCCTGCCTGTCCCTCCCTCCCCTCCTCCCTAACCATTACTCCCACTTCTTCCACCTCCCTCAGATGACGTCTGTTCCCTACTGCTCCCCTTTCGCGTTGTTTCTTGTCCGTTGCCTCCATGTGTCCTTTCCCTTTACCTGGTAGAGTGTAGGATGGGACTCCTGTATGGAACCTCACCCACCCATGGCTCAGGGACCATTGCAGAAGAGGAGGCAGAAAGAGTATAAGAGCCAGGGCTGGGGCATGAACACAGGGAGGTGGAGGCTTCCAGGCCACGGGGGGCTTGCTCATGTGAGCCTGCAGCAGCAGTGGCATCAGACATGGGACCCATGTCAGCTCAACTAAACAAGAGCCCAAAGGGGAGGTGAGAAATAGGTAGCAGGCCAGCACTAGACTGAGAACTATTTGAGACTGATTGCTGCTGGGTGAGGGAGAGTATGACTTACTTATGACTAGACTCCAGCGGACACATTTACACTGAAGTCATTTGGGTACAAACACCTGAATGAATAGGATTCAGCGTGTACGGCAGAGTGCATCAGGTTCTGTGGGGCGAGAAGGGGAGGCATGGCTGGGGGAGGGGGTCTGGATTTGAGTGGGAAATATATGAAATTTAAAAGGCTCAATTAAAAATTACAAAAAGAAAGATTTTAGGGTTACCTCTTCAGAGGGGAGAATGTTAGAGTAAGGAAAAAAAAGGGGGCTCTAGGGGCTGGAGAGAGCGCTCAGCGTCTAAGAATGCTTGCTGTTCTACCAGAGGACTGGAGTGTGGTACCTAGAACACGTGACAGGGGGCTTACAACTGCCTGCAGCTCCAGGGGATCAGATGCCCTCTTCTGGCCTCTGTCAGCACCTGCACATGTATGTGCATCTATACAGACACACACACGACACAATAAATCTTGTTTAGTGTCCCGTGATTACTGGATGAAGAATAGACTATGGTTGAGTGAGATGGTGGAGAAAGCTCCGTGTGACCATTCCACAGGTCCACCCACGTAGCACCGCAGTGTTAAGAAGCACTGAAGAGGCGAACTACACAGACACCAACCACAGCTCCTGTGGGGAAAGGGATCTAGCAGAGACCTTGAATTGTTATCTCTCAGAACTGGGCAGATGATACTGTGTTTTGTGGGGATGAGTAAAAATGCAGAATTGTTAGGAAATTCAGAGTTCTGTTTCACACACATTAAGTGTGAGCTGACGTCCTGAACATCTGTATGTCTATGTCACCTCCTCAGGAGCAAGAATGGAGCTGGAGGTAGAAATCAAGAGCTATGAATCTGAGATGATGATACACACACACACACACACACACACACACACACAGGAAGGCATACAACAGAACCTCGCACCGGCTGTACCACAAAGGCATCGCACAGAGGTGGCAACGTCTTCCCATGGAGTTCCAGGTTAGCGCTGAGCAGAGACTTAAGAGGAGACGGGAAATTGAAAAGAAGCAAGTGATGTTAATCAAAATAATCTTGACTGACTCCCAAGTGCCCAGTTCCTGACTACCAAAGTCTCCTGCTCCTGTTCTCAAACAAATTAGTGCTTATCTTTCCAAAATACATTTTCTTACATGCAAATCACATCCCATCATGATGACAGGATACTTTCTGTTTGGGGAACTAATGTCTCTGAGTCCCTCGGTGCTGATATAGGCAGCTGAGACTTCCATTTCAAATCACACCCACTTCTATACGCTCCCACTCACGGCGGAAACACTGAGCATGGAAATCAATTACGCAGATAAAACTTCCCCCCTTATTACCCTTTTCTCAAAAGACGGTATTGAAGAAGGAGACGAATGATATAGGTAATTGCAGGACTGTGTGCACTAGCATATAAAGATAATGATGCGGGTGCGCCGCAGGAAAGGGATGACTCAGAAAACTAGCACCGTTTCTAATGCCCACCTGTGCAGGAGAAGTCGTCCACACGAATGTACCCTGGGATGCAGTCACAGCGATACAACCCGGGCAGGTTGACACACACCGTGTTGGCATGACAGTAGTGCATCTTGGCTGAGCACTCATCAATGTCTATAAAAGAGAGAGAGAGAAATAAACAGCATTATGGTCTGTGGAATGAAACTGAGAAAGGTGGACATCCACTAAAGTCAGGAGTGAAAGCAAGATGCATGAAATACAAACGCTTGTGCGAATTCATGTGGTGCATTGGATCCCTCCTGGGCTGAAAGTTTTCTAGAAAGATACACTGTGAGTTGCCACAGATAAGAACCCAGGAAGCGTGAAAACAGAATCGGTTATTCTTACCAAGGGAAATGTTCTATTTAACTGTCCCAACTCAAGGAGCTCTGCATCCACTGAGCTGATGCCTATTATCATGTATGGGCCATCCACAGGACATGGTACTGCTTTTAGCAGAGAGATCAAGGGAATCTGGTGTCCTCTGCCTGTATGTTTTCCCAACATGTACCTTATTCCATGTTATAAAATGATCCTGCGGCCTGTTCCCCGTGTTACACTCTTAATTTAGACTGCGCCTGGTTTGGGATTCACACTGACGTTGCACACCCTTTGACCCAGGGGTGTACACCAGGTTACAGGACAAAGAGTTGGCTCAACACAAGATAGTATTCTCCGTGGGAAGGAGCTTGGAGCGTTCCCTCCTTTCCATGAAAAGCTCCTTACCTAAACCTTACAACTGCAAATAGAGAATCTGATCTTTTCTGGAGGTTATATTTTTCACAAATTGGTTTATGCTCATTTTATTAAGACTATTTTCATGCAACTGTGTATGGGGGTGGTAAAAATACAGCATTGGGGCTCCAAGAAGGAAAATTTGAGGTCTTGCTTCGAATCTGCTTGCTGCTAGCTGATGGCTTGCATTCGATTCTCTGAGCCCTCAACACCCTTGTCAGCTGACCCTACGGGACAATTCTGAGCCTGCGCGTTTGAATCTTTAAAGGCATTAGCTAGTTTGATCTGAGGTCAATTCTGTGAGCAATGTACCAAAAACACCTCTACTTTAAAGTCTAGAAAACTGAGGTTTAGAGAAGTTAGATTATCTGCCACAGTCTTCCCTCTTAACATGCAGAGCTGGGCCTTGAAGTCGTAAGTCTGTCTCTTACTCACTATGACACATCCCAAGAGCACCCTGAAAATGATAGTCAAATACAATTTTTCCAATAAGATGATCATTAACTTCCTAATATCTTAACCCACAGACAACGAAAATGAAAGTGGCTATACTGGGTCACCAGAAGGCTCATTTATCTATTTATTTTTAAAAGAAAAGTAGTGTGATTTATTTCTCAATAAACACCCTGGAATAACATTAGGTTCTTTTCAGTCCTAAAGAGCTGTCAACCTATAAATAAGAGTTATTGTTGGGTAATTGAGGTCTTAGAAGGAGACCCACAGTTAACAAGGCTCCCACAACTGTGATATAAGAACAAAGCCACAGAAATTAGTGAAATAACTCAAGCTGTCAACATCTTCTCCTGTGCCAGTCAGTTCCTGGGGAGTGCCTGAGGCCGAAATCCTGGTGGAGGCATGGAATTACCGCACCCAGAGAATGAGACCTCTCACTCTTTGTGTGAACAGCACAAGTTTATGGGTATAAACATTAAGAAGGTACTTTCACAACATGACCATTTAGTGAAACACCAGTAGGTTCCCCCTTAGGGCCTATGATCTTCATAATTAGGAACTTTTGATCACATTTACAGTACCAGACATAAAATCCCAGATATGAAGCGGAGCTCTAATCCAATCAGAGAAAGGTTGGTTACTCTAATACCCATTTTGCCTGTATTGTGCCAGTGGGCACATCTTGCCTGGTAGGGTGTTACTGTAGCATGCAGAGTCCAATACTGGGTAAAACCACTGATGTCTTGTCCTCCCTCAACAGCCTGCATAGTAATTTCCAGCACTATGAAAACCAGTCATCAGGGGAGGGTTTCCTGGTTACTTTGAGATTATTTCTTCTTTTTTCTATTTTTTGATTGATTTATATGTATTTATGTGTGTGAGTATTTTGCCTACATGAATGTAAATATACCCACATTGTGCAATGCCCACAGAAGCCAGGACCTAGAGTTACAGACAGTTGTTAACTGCCATGTGGGTGCTGGGAACTGAAGTCAGTTTCTCTGCAAGAACAGGCCATGCTCCTATCCACTGAGCCATCTCCCCAGCTTCAAAATTGATTTCTTGATTCCCTGCAATCAAGGTAGGTAGTGTCTTCAGCAACATACCCGAATGCTGAACAACAGGCCTCTCTCATGAATGCATGGGAAAACAGGGGTCAGACTGCCTGACACTGTTTTCAAAGTGGTTTGGTTCTTGTTGACTACAAGTCTTTGGTATGACCACAGAAGGGTGTAGGACAAGGTGATGCAAGGAAGAGGTTGTTGGCATTAGAAAAGCCAGGCGCTGGGAAAGGCAGCAGAAGTATTGTTCATAAGCATTGCCAGTTTCCCTACTCTGGCCACCCAGCAGGACTGTGCACCCAGTCCTGGTCTCATTCAAACAGGCCTGTGGGACTGAGCAGCAAATCCCAGCAGAAGGTATCCTTGTAAATCTAAATCGGAAGGTCAGAGCCAGCATCCAGCTTACCACACTTAGTTTCGCTGTCTTAGAAATCATGACAGCATACGCATGGAAGTTCTTCCCACCTGGGTCCCTGAGTGACAAGCAGGTAAGAACCAGGGAGGAGGTGCAGGACCATATGGAACAGAGTCCTACAGGCTCCTGGGAACCTGCTCACATGATTCTATGGCAATGGTGTCAGCATACACAAGTCCCATGCAAACTCAGGCAGATAGAAACCCAACATAGAACTGGGAAAATGAACAGCAGATCCCAATCTTATCTGAAGGAATGTTGGCAACTGATTGCTGCTAGGTGAGGAAGAGCTGATCTTCCTAAAACAAGAGACTGTAGTTAAGCTGACTAGACTCAGTGAACAGACTTGCACTGGGGAACAGCTGGGGACACTGACAACCCAGTGGGCCTGACAGGGATGACAGAGCACATGGGCTTCAGTGTAGGGGGAGGCTATGAGAGGGTCCCATTGGGGATGGCGGTATAACAATGATCAAGATTGTTTGAGATGTTCTGTATGAAATACACAAAAAATTCAATAAAATTTTTAAAAATGACCATGAATTCAGTAGTAAGGAAAGGAGGGGATGTCCAGAGAAGAAACTGTAAAAGCAAAGTTTTTGGTCTCTGTGGCATTAGAGAAGCAGAGAAGCATTTAACCCTAACTTTTAAGACCTACATTAGCTGGCTGCGGTGGTGCATGCCAGAAGATTATGCTGAAGAGGCAGAGGCAGGAGGATCATGAGTTCGAAGCCAGGTTGAGTTCCCCCTTTGTGGACTGGAGAGGGGGTACCTCAGTTAAGAGTGAGTACTGCTCTTGTCGAAAACCAGTTAGGTTCCTGGCACCCACATCAGGTGACTCACAACCACCTGTAACTCCAGCTCCAATGGATCCCACACCCTTCTCTGACGTCTACAGGTACCTGCATTCATGTGCACAGAACCCCACACAGACACACACATATACACATAATTATTTTAAACAGTTGAAGAAAAACTTTGATTATGCTGTACTGAGCCTGGAAACAGAGTCCCGAGCAAAGGGCTACCTTGGGCCGCATAGCCTGTGGAAACCTATAATAATTTTTACCAAGGATAGGAGACCTTTTAACAGAGAATTTGACATGCTCTGACAGGATCACACAAGGATGCTGTGGGATATGGTGTTTCAACTGAGGCTCCAATCAGAAATGAAACAGAGGAAGGAACTACTACACCACAAGGAAAAGAATGCTCTAGAAGATGGCTCCATGAGGTGTGGCCTATTTGAAGAGGAACTGTTAAAAGATAAACTCAGACCAGGTCCTGCTAAGCCTCAGTGCCCATGGGAAGAAGCCTGGACTTTAATCAGTGTGGTAACATGATTTAATTTCTGTTTTAAAAATACAGCTCCAGCTATAGGGAAAAGAATTGATTGGAACAGGGCAAGCTGAGGGTTAAATCACACTACTACTTTACCCACAGAGACACAGCCACACTGAAGTCCTTCTCCCTCTGCTGGGATGCCCAGACATTCTTCATGATGAGAAACTGGTCAGGACTTGCCTTAGAAGCGATTCAATCTTCACCCGTGGCTGCAGCTGACAGCTAGGCAGTGAATGTGAGCCTGTCACGGATGCCTGTCAGCTCTTCCCACAGGAGACTCCTGGCCCATTTCCTTCAGGCCCCTACATGGTCACTGGGAGGCCACCACCTCATTTGGACTTGAAGATACTATTTGACTGTGACATGCTTATTCTTATTCAAACAGACCAGGCTATTTCCTTACTTCATAGGTTTCTAAGTCCTCAAATAAATATATCTTCAAAACAACAACAAAAACGAGCAGAGAGGTGGTTAAGAAACCCTAGTAGGAACTCACACAGATTTAATCAAGCCCTTGCTCTGAGTCATTCGAGACTCACAGCCTGACGTCTCCATGGCTCCACTAAAGTGTCTTACATTGGATTTGGTTTTAAGTCCATGTCTGTAATTCTGGCTCTTACATCAAAAAATTTCCTGGGGTGTGCTTAGGAAAAGACCACACCAACATAAAGCTTTAAAATTTGAAAAAATACTGGAAAATGAGACCGTCAGAATCTCATCTTTGATGTTCATCCTTCTGGCAGCCTCCATGGACAGGAGACACACTGTGGTACAGACAGAAGATACAGAGAAGAGGATGAGGTGAGGTCCTCCAGCTGAGTCCCTGGAAAAAAGATGTTAGAAGAGAGCTGGCAACTTCTGGGATGGGGGCAGAACAGTGGCAGGTTTGTCAAAATAAAAATGGCCTCGCTCCATCCTCCGGGAAAGTGTAGCACAGCCTACAGTTTCAGTTGGACTCCAGAGTGCTTCAAAAAGAAAATCCGATTATAAAGAGAATCATAACAGAATTAACATCTTCAGAGAGCTCAGACACCAAGACAGCAATCTCCTGAAACACGGAACTGTGAGAATTGTTTTAAAAACTTTCCTTCACAACTGAGATTTTT